GGCCCCTGGCCTTGGCGGCAGGGGGAGGCATGACCGGATGCAGTGTTGCAGATTCGCGAAGGGGAGGTCGGCGAGGGCCGGAGGCCGAGCGGAGGGAAGGGGAGGGAGTGAGGAGAGCGCCGGCCGGATGGGAGGGAAGGGACCGAGGGAGAGGGCAGCCGCCGGACTTGGAATCGCCGCCGCTACCTCTAGGTTGGGAATCGGGGGAGGAATCGGCCGCCTAATCTGGCTCGGTGGTGTGTGGTTTGGTGCGTCGCTGCGACGCTGCCGTAGGTGCCAGTTTGGGCTAGACTCAGTGGGCCAAATTTTAGCGTATAAACATATGTAGTAAAAAAATTGGGGCCAAAATCTTGGGTATTCCAGGGAATTCCCAGGAAGACCCCAAGCGCCGCCACTGCTCCCTCCATTTCGGTTTATTGGGTTCATCACATTTTCTTGGTTTTTCATATTATAAGTCTTATTTTTATTTTTTTTCCACCACATGTTCACATTCTAAGGTGCCACTAGTAGAAAACGGAGCTTTATTACCGGTTCGTAAGGGCCTTTAGTGCCGGTTCTGCAACCGGCACTAAAGGGTGGAGACTAAAGCCCCCCCCCCTTTAGTACCGGTTTGGCACGAACCGTCACTAAAGGCCCATCACGTGGCGTGAGCTCGTGCCGTGGTATGGGGGACCTTTAGTATCGGTTGGTAACACCAACCGGCACAAAAGAATTTTTTTTGAAAATTTTGAAAAAATTTTGATTTTTTTTTCAATTTTCTGAATTATTTGATGGTTTAGTCTCTAATCACCCCTCTTAACTGCTCAAGTGTGGATTACTCATTCCAAATCGTCTAACTTCCCGGCTGGTCACCCATCCTCTCACTCTCCCAGCCTGAGCACGCTTAACTTCGGAGTTCTATCCCCCTACTTTCCAAGTCAGCACTTGTTATTTTCCTAACAAATGTAAGCTGTCAATCCTATTAACCCTCAGCAGTTTAGCTTGAACATTAGGTCACACGTTTCACCGTTTGAGTTTGAAACTATTATTCTAAAAAACAGTAATTATTTAGTAACACTAATATTTCTTGAATAAGTTTGACCACAGTTTGACCAGATTTGACCAAAATTCAAAAAATTGAAATAATTATTTAGTAACACTAATATTCTTGAATAATTATGTAGTAACATCAATACTTCTTGAATAAGTCGTTTGACCAGATTTAACCAAAAATTAAAAAAACTGAAATTTGAGCATATCTTTTTTCTTTTGGAATTTGAGGATTATAAAAAATTGCAAATAGGCCGTAGGCCGTCAAAATTGGATGCGGATTTTCGTGCTGAACATTTTGATATATTATACGTTTTTTCCGACATCGTATGCAAATGTTATAGCCGTTTTACTTTTTCATAACACTTTTTTGCAAAACATGTTCAAATTTAAGTTTTTTAATTTTCCTAACTAGTAGATGTAGTAATATAACTACATCTCGAGAATTTTTTTTGAATTTTTTATCATTTTCTTTTGTTTTGTTTCAAAACTGAAATGGCGATACACAGGGGGTGGGGGGTAGAGTTTGAAAATTGCCCTATAGTCCCGGTTTGTATCTCTAACCGGGACTATGGGTCAGACCCCTTTAGTTCCGGTTCATGGCACGAACCGGTACTAAAGATTAGCCCTTTAGTACCGGTTCGTGCCACGAACCGGGACTAAAGGGGATCGTGGGGCCCCAGCCTGACGCCAGCCTACCACCACCCCTTTAGTACCGGTTCATGGCACGAACCGATACTAAATGTTCAACACGAACCGGCATTAATGCATAGCCGTTCGAACCGGGACTAATGATACCATTAGTACCGGGCCAAAATCAAACCGGGACTAATGTGTCTCACATTAGGTCCTTTTTCTACTAGTGTGCATTAAATTGATGCATGCAAGGATTAAAAGAAACCAACCAATGTTGTAACCATTACTACTCACTTAGTGGTCATGCATATATTGTAATTAATGCAAATTAAAGTTTGAGTAATTTTGTAAACTATGAGATAAATTTCTCCACTCATCATTTGCTTTGGTTGATGAGATTTCAAATGTAAGCCCTATAAATCAAAAAGAAGGGAGTACCATGCAGGTGTGATTGTGTGAAGAACAATTTGCGATAAGCCCAGAACGATCTAGGTTGGCAGAGTTTTGCCGCGCATCTATAGAGCGCAAATCCAAGAAATAATAGGCATTAGATCACTTGAGGTTCGTATTGATACACAGTGGAAATTCACCTTTTGGAACAAATCAACGGCTACCAATTTAGCTTCTACAGCACAGTTGATGGCTAGCCGCGTTCAAAAATTGTTGTACGTATAAATGATGATTCTTGCTTTCGTATTGTTAATGAGTAGAGAAACTCACTAGCCTGGTTGTATCACCGACTAGACATTATCCACATGGCAGACAACAAACAAAATGTGGTGGCCATTAGGATTTTGTAGGTCTAAAATAACATTGGATCATCGATTTTGTTACAGAGCAGTGGGTAACAAACCAACAGTCTGGGGATAGCAATGGAAGCCTAGACGCTGTTGCGAATAAATCCAACTGCCAAAAACTCCTAAACATCCGAATCCGGCGGCCGAAATGGTTACTGGCCTAGAGGGCTTGAAGAGTGTATATTGATAGTGTCTTTGAATTATCTATAGTGCCGATAGTCATGAAGAAAAAGATGTGTGATAGATATGCACCAATCGAACTAGAACATATCAAGGGCGCAAATGACCAATGGTACATACATAAATACATATTTCCCTAGTGCAATTTTTTTTTGAAAACAATTGTACATACATAAATACATGTTTAATGCGTCCAAGAAAAGTTTCATAACACTATACTTTCACACGCTGCATAAAAAAAAGACAAATATGTAAATGGACCGACTTTTCTTTTTGTTGAGCCAGAATTTTGTCTTTTAGTACAGCATACAAATCACAATATTTTCAAATATTTTTTTACAGGTTCGTGCAGAAAACACATAAGTTTCCATGGGAGAAATTTGAATTTTTTTGAACCTTTAAAATTTGATTTTCTATTTTTTTTAATAAAACGGGTTCCATGGAGCTGGGCCTCCAAAAATTCACACCAATATCAAGAGTTCATATGTTCTTCATTTTGCTAATATATAATATTTTCTTTAACGTCGTACTAATTTTGCGACAATTTAATACGGATCAAAGGGAGTACATGCTTTGGAAAAATACCCCATATGTCAACTCTGATGGGTAGAGTCTAGCCTAAGTTATGCGTGAGTTACTGTCCACGAGCTTCTAATCTCACCAAATCAAATAAAAGAGATAATGATGTTTTTTCCGGAAGTCCAAGATAGAGATAGAAATTAATTAAAAACAGAGGCAGATATAAGATTAATTGGTTTCCTTTGGATTGATTGGGGATTGGTTCTTTCGTCATCTAGTCAAGTCATTCTAGAGATACCATGTGCTCATTTATTATTTATTTGTTGAAGAAAACTTCCGATCTATTCATGAACTGTCATGACAGTATAAAAATAGAAATAATAAAAAATACATATAGGCCCGTTGATCATCTAGCGACGATTACAACCACTAGAGCGAGCCCAAGGCACGCCACTGTCACCGCCCTTCCTTTGCCGGAGCCGGGAGAAACTTATTATAGTAGAGAGTCGGGAAGTCGTCGTACTAAAGCCCCACAAGACTAGTGCACCAGAACAACATCCGCCGCCATTGAAGAGAGGCGTACATCAAAATAATCCAACCTGGAGACACACAAACATAGATGACCGAATATTGGATCCACGATGATCCACCAAAGACCAACACTATCAGAATCGTGAGAGATCCACCGAAGACACACCTCCACACGCCCTCCGTTGATGTTAGACGTACCACTGGGATGAAGACTAGGCGGGATGGAACCTATTAATTCCTTCTTGAGGGAGCCACTGACATCTCACCTTCCTGAGCAGGAACTCTAATGAACCCTAGAAACATACATAGAAACGGAGCATGAACGTTCCTTCGGCAAGGCCTGGGGTCCACCACGCCTCCATCGCCTAAGGCCACCGAAGACGAAGCGGACAGATATCAATGTCAACGGTAGAAAATAAACCCTAATCTCTAGGTAGTCGTTAGAGGAGGCCGAAAAGTTAATCCCACTATGATTAGCCTATCAACTCGTGCTCATTTATAGATAAGAAGGCATGTCTTCTAGAGACACCCACGTGTTTAACTAGGTAAATGCTGATGCGTTGCTATGGGATGCCATTTTCATATAGTAGTAGCGTGTGACAGATTGTCCTTCACCATGGTGGGCATGGATTGTGTCGTGATGACGTTGGTGACTACTATCACCTGCTTGCGTAAATAGAGATAAGAAACTAGTAAAATATCACATAACGTCTTTAATCATGCTACAGCTTAGGCCTCACTGGTGATGGTAGGATCTCTCTGTGTGTGTGTGAGGAGGGGGCAAATGCTATATATTTCACATTTTTAACCAACCTTGGGGCCATTGCCCCTGCTGGCCACCACTTAGCTCCGCCCCTGCTGAGTGTTTTTCTTTAACACAAATGCTCATGTACATGCATATACATTCATTTCTATGAATGTGCACGCGCACACACACGCTACTTCTATGAGTATCTCCAAGACACTCAGTTGGCACAATATTTTGAGTCATCAAAGACGTCTCGTAGTTGAGGAGAATGTCTCCTCTCACTGAATAAACAACACTGAAAAGTTTAAAATAAATTTAGGAAAATGCAAGCACTTCACTACTAGGAAAAAGCCTAGTAATAACGTGGGTTAAACAACTATTAGTAGCACGGGTGCCTGCGCCACTACTACGTCGCTACAACTAACTATGGGGGAAAAAAATGGAGACATAGCAAAAATTCACGGGATCCATGGCAGTCCCTACAAATTAGCTATAGAAATGTTGGGGAGCATAGGAGGGTACTGAATGATTTGGATCGTGGGCAGGGCTTCCGGCGCGAGATGGGGGCGGTGCAGATCCAATCTGGCGATGCACGACATCAATCCTTGCAGCAGTGGGCTCATCACAGGTAGGAAGAAGCTGGTAGGCTACCGCCGCCGTTCGGCTTGGCCAGCCACTGCCGCCACAATTCACTCATCCTCTCACAGTAAGGATAAGGGAAAATATAGTAGAGTGGGAGAAGACGACATATAGAGGAGAGCGGATAACACAGGGAAATGAGCGCGACTGGAAAAGGAGGAAGTGATAAGAGAGCCACATGTGTTCGCCATGACTCATTGTTTTTTCGAACAAAAAAAAACGTACGTGGCCGATCTCCACGCTCTAAGATTCGTGCCAGGAATCAAATGGCCTAGGAGGCGTTCGGGCTGAAATCTTTAGGGTGTGTTTGGTTTCAGTCATGAAGTAGAACGGCATGGGTCGGTTCCGTTCCGAGTGCCCATTCATGTGTTCAGTTCATCGAACGAATTGGAACCCACTCGTTCCCAGTAACGGTATATTCGCTCAATATGTGGAACGAACCAATACCTCCAAATCGGTGGAACCACAGGGAACGGCTCGCGACGCTCGCTCTCACCCACCCTTCCACGACCCGCACTCAGCGCCGCCACCCCTCGTCTCTCTCCCTCTTCCATCCGAGGATTCGTTGGAGACCGGCAGGCGGCGGCAACCGGAGAGGCGCCTGACGGCGGCCGGCGCGGGTGGCACCAGCTGTTGGAGGACATCCCTCCCGATCTGAGGTGCAGTTGCAGATCGGCGGCAAGGCGGCAGCCTGGGAGGCGGTCGCCGGCGGCCGGCGCGGGTAGCACCAGCTGCTGGAGGACCTGTTCCATCTGTGCTTTGGGAAGGCGAGGACGCGCAGCAAGGCCTCCTCGATTGGACCTCCCCGCTCATGACGCGGAGCACCATCGAGTTCCTCCTCCACCACACAGCTGTGCTCCTACTCCGCTCACAGGCCTTCTCCAGTAGCAGCAGTGCAAGTTCTTGGTTGTGTGGCAGCGAGCAACAATCAGCGGCGAAGCTCCGTCCAGCCATAACAGCAGTTTTGGAAGCTCCCTCTTTCTGCTTATCTACACTCTACTCTTTGTTGTGATTATGTACTTTTGTTATCTGCAGTTAGAATACTAACAGTATATTTATTTCTGAAAATATTGGAAGTTTACTTAACTCATGGATTTTCAAATGTGAAAAGCTATATGTGAGAGGTAATCTCACAATTCCTATTTAAAATAACTTTTTGATTCAAATTCATTCCATGTTATCTCTTGAACCAAACACCAAAACAGAACCGTTCCATTCCACATAATTGTCGCTACTAAACACAGAGACGGAACCGGCCAATTCTAATGGAATGGAACCATGACATTCCATTCCAACTCGTTCTCCAACCAAACACACCCTTAAAGTATGGTGTTCAGTTTTTTCCGTATTTTTTTGGATTTACACACTACTATGGTGAGTTCCGCTGGCTCGCGCTTGATGCTACTAGGCCGGCACATTCGGGGTGCTCCTATATGAATCGGCGCTTGTCGCAGAATGCGACATATAGGAGCTCCTCTAGCTAGGCACCTCGTGACAGTGGTTCTCTATCAATACTAACAATTTTCTTCACAGAGGAACTGAGCTGAGAGGCCCATCAGTGATGATACAATTAGGAGCAAAAAATCCCAAGGGCCCAGTATCCAACCTAGCCCATGGGACGGAGGTCCGTCGCCTTGTGTTACCACCTATTCTCAAATGCATGAACCTTTTTTCATACATAGTGAACAATTTTAAAATATTTTATGAGAATTATTGTATTTTTCATACAAATGAACAATATTTTTAATGTCACAAATCGATGCCATGAAAACATTTTTAAAAATGTGAGCATGTTTTGAATATATGTCATATATGAGGACATTTTTTCCAAATAGATGAATATTTAATTTGTAGAAACATTTTTTACGTACACATGAAAAGTTTCCAATTGCACTAGATAATACTTCATTTTTTCAACAGATTTATGAAACTATTAGAAAATATATTTAAATTGTGTGTTTGTAAAAAATGAATGTTTCCTTTAATAGGCCGCGCAGTAGCCGGCCCATTAGGAGGTCCCTTTGGGCGGAGTTGTTTTTCCGGCCGCTTCAAGCGGGAAATAGCGCAGCTAGCACCATACCCAACCCCGCAAAAGAAAGGAAAAAAACACCGTAGATCTGGGTGGCGGAGACGCCGGAGTGGCGACAGCATGCCGGTAAAGGAGATGAGACCGTGGCGGCGGTCGCAGTCGCGGTGCAAAAGGAGGCGGCGTCGAGGTGGTGAAGGCAAGGCGGAGTTCCCGATGCGCAGCAATGGATCGAGTCAGAGGTTGAGGTGGGGATTCAGGCCCTGCGGCGGAGTTGACAGAGCAGAGCGACAGCGGCGGCCGGAGTTGTGTGTGTGTGGAGTGAGGAAGCACGGATGCTTCGACCTCCATCGGTGTTTGATTGGTTGATTCCAGTAAAACTACGCGTGTTGTCTCCTCGAATTCGCCAAACAGGGTGATTCTTGTTTTCTTCATTTGGCGTCTCTCTTGTCAGGCAGTGCCGCCGCTCGAAAGAATCCAAGCATATGTTGCTGCATATCACACAAGCATATGTGTGTAAGAAGAATCTAAAGGAAGGATATACTGCTCAAATTAGTACGTATTCCGGTATGCAGCTTTTCAACTCTGAATGTGCTCAACGACGGTAGAATATCCGAGTGCCTAGCCTACCCTTGCAGGAATATTCATCGGACATGTGCTGATTCTTGGGGAATATGCAGGGATTAAACCTTGGTCTTGGCAACCGATGGCTGATAAAACCATGCATCGGGTGTCAATGTGCATTCAAGCTCATACAGGCTTGCATGGCATGGCGGAGGGAGTGGTGAGCGCGTTGATTCTGAAGCTCGGGGATGCGCTCTTGAGTGAGGTTGTAGAGCTTGCAGGGTCATTCTTTGGTGTGGAGGGATATGCTCTGAAGGGCCTATTCTGCGAGATACGGCAGGTCAAGAGTGAGCTGGAGAGTATTCAGGCTTTCTTGCACGCTGCCGAGAGCTTCAGAGACACTGATGAGACCACTGCTGCATTTGTTAGGCAAATCAGGATTCTTTCCTTCAACATTGAAGATGTCGTCGATGAGTTCACCTACGAGTTGGCGGACGATGCTAGAGGTATGCTTCTCTTCAAGGCAATCAGGAGGGTGAGGCAAATCAAGATATGGTACCGGTTGGCAGGCCGTCTCCGAGATATCAAGGCTGATCTCAGGAGTGCTGCTGAAAGAAGGGGAAGATATGATCTGAAGGGCATTCAGAGAGGTGCAAGGCTGCCAGGAAGAAATGGCTCAACTTGGAGTTGTTTAAGATACACTTCCTTTGAAGCAGAGGATGATCCTGTGGGGATTGAGGAGGAAAAAAATTTCTTAATGAAATGGGTCCATGATAAGGATCGACGAAACTTGATTGCAGCTGTGTGGGGCATGGGTGGCATAGGCAAGACAACACTTGCTCATCATGTTTATAGTTCTGTCAAGGATAATTTTGACATTTGTGCTTGGGTTACAGTATCACAAAGCTCTGAAGCTGATGACCTGATGAGGAAAATAGTTGAGGAGTTCCGCAAGAACGACCGGACAAAGAAGTTTCCCAAGGATGTTGATGTAACAGACTGTAGAAGCCTAGTGAAGGCGATCTGCTGTTACCTCGAGCACAAAAGGTACATTCTCGTTCTGGATGATGTGTGGAATGTGAATGTGTGGTTTGATTGTAGAGATGCTTTTCTTCATGGCAAGGGCCGGATACTGTTTACATCAAGGATTTATGAGGTAGCATCACTAGCATCAGAATCAAACATAATAAATTTGCAGCCACTCGGAGAAGATGATGCACTCGATCTATTCTGTAGAGAGGCATTTCAAAAGGAAGAGAAGAGGATTTGCCCACCAGAGTTATCAGATTCGGCGGGCATGTTTGTAACGAATTGCAATGGCTTGCCAATTGCTATCAAATGCATTGGGAGATTGTTATCACTCCGAAGCACATGTTTCTCTGAGTGGGAGAAAGTGTACAAAGATATGAAGAAGCAGCTCACCGACAACCCCGTCATGGATATGCACGTAATCCTGAAGGTTAGTTTGGAAGATCTGCCACATAGTGTTAGAAGTTGTTTTCTGTATTGTTGCATGTTCCCAGAGAAATATGTGATGCAGAGAAAATCTCTAGTAAGACTTTGGGTTGCAGAAGGGTTTGTTGAAGAGAGTGAACATAAGACACTCGAGGAGGTGGCTGAGGATTATCTGACCGAACTGATCCACCGGTGTCTATTGTTGGTAGTCAAGAGAAATGACTCTGGATGTGTATATGAAGTTCAAATGCACGACATCTTTCGTGTTTTAGCTCGTTCCAAGGCACGTGAAGAGAACTTTTGCGGTGTCTATAACCCCTTGAAAATTCATACCATCAGAGAAGCACGACGTGTATCAAATGAAACAGGGGATATTGCTCTGCTGGCACAGAATGCTCCGCATCTCCGTTCATTGCTTGTCTTCCACAGTTCTTTTAGCTTCATTTCACTCCGTTCACTAGCAATGAGCAACAAGTTGTTGTGTGTTCTGAACCTGCAAGATAGTTCAATTAAGTGTCTTCCAGCAGAGGTATTTGGCTTGCGTAATCTGCGGTTTCTTGGCCTTAGGCGAACAAAAGTCTCAAGTCTTCCAGGATCCATCGGAAGACTAAAAAATTTGCTGGTGTTGGATGCCTGGAAGTGTGAAATAATGAAGCTACCATCGCAAGTTATGAAGCTCAGTAAGTTGACACATCTTATTGTGACTTCCAAGCATGTTGGACCATCATTGCAGTTTGTTCCTTCTGTTGGTGTACCAGCTCCTGCTGGTATATGCTCTTTGACTAGCCTGCAGACACTTCTACAGATGGAAGCTAGTGCTGAAATGGTCCGTGCCATGGGTGCTCTTGTGGAGTTGAGAACATTCCATATCAGCAAAGTGCAAGGTTCCCATTGTGAAGATCTGTTCAAGGGTATTGGCAGAATGATTCATCTTACCCGTCTCGGAATCCAGGCAGATGATAATCAGGAAATTTCGCATCTCAAAGCATTTCAGGCACCTCCCTTGCTTCAGAAGCTTTTCTTGCTTGGTGCACTATCCAAGGAATCCCTGCCTAATTTCTTCACAGCACTTAGTAAACTGAAGAACCTTAAATTTCTGAGGCTTGTTGGCTCACAGCTTAACAACGGCGCTTTTCTGTATCTTAAGGGATTGGAGCATCTAGTTAAGCTTCAACTTTATCATGCGTATGCTGGTGATAAGTTGTACTTTCCCGCAGCATCATTTCCGAAGCTCAGGGTACTGAAAATACGAGGTGGACCATATCTCACTGAAATAGAGATAGTAAGAGGCGCCATGGCGAGCTTAGTTGATCTTAAGCTCCTGCTCTGCCCACAGCTGAAGATGCTACCAGATGGTATTGAACATGTGAGGACTCTTGAAGAACTGACTTTGGATGTGGGAGAAGAACTAGTTGACAGGGTTTGGCAGAAGAAAGAGAGGAAGATTTTGCATATCCAACGAGTTTATGTTGGGCCTCAGAGCTTACCGGTATTATAATTTCCTATTCCAATGTAGGCATGAGCTGAAGATTCTTTTTCCCTTTCTGTAGCCTAATCCTGTGTAACCCCAACTTCATGTGTCCATCTATTTCTTCTTGTACTATCTTCTCGGTCACCCGGATCATCGTTTTTCTTCTTCTATCCAGTGTGAGCTTGCTCTGATATAATGCACAGCTAAGTTTGTTTCACGCATCAATTTTTTTGGATTATTTTCTGCTCGTGGATGTTTTTTCAGGGAACAGTCATTCCTATGTTTCTGTTTTTTTGGTGTTCTTGTTAGATGAAAAACAAGAAGGAGAACAAGAACAAGAACAAGAGGTAACCTGCTGACATAGCGCTTACCGGCAGTGTGACAATATTTTTGGGATGAACTTCTTTAGATGTGATTGCTGATGAACTTCTACTATTGCTTTGCTGTAGCGAGATTACCAGATGTACAGACAAAATAGTAAATTCGTTTGAAAATATATAATTTGCTTAACTGTATTCATCTCAAAGCTAAGCATTATGTTTATGACAGACTAGTGACCCATTGCTTCTGAATTCAGTTGTTTAATATGAAATTTATAGAGCAAACAACGTAAAGGTCACTGAAAACTTCCGACAGTACCACTGCTCTTTAACAGCAGAAGGGCATGTGATCATCTTTGATTATATTTTGGACCCCTTTTCTCTATCTCGTTTTCGGTGAATTTGATCAAAACATCCCGATGGTTCATAACGCCATCTGTGTAATGAATGTGCTAGCCTAGGTGGTGTGGCATATCGTCTCACAGCAGGAATCCCCACTGCGATCTTGATTCGCCGGATGAGCATGTCTACTAGTGCAAGTACTTGCTGTTGTACCTCCATCATCCGTACATGTGCAGCCTTAGCAGCATGTAGCAATTGTTCTCTCATTCCCAGCACTTCCTATTCCCTAATGCATTTCCATAAAAAAGGTTATCTTTTGTTCTCCTGTTGGTGTCTTCAAGCCGCCGGCGCC